TGACTCTCTGAAATCTTAGAGTTGTATGAAGTTAAGATAAGTTTTATTGCCCTGAAAGCTATTAGCATTCATTGTAATTTCTATTAATATTAAGTAAATCTTTTCATGACTGTAAACAAACTATAGGAATATGAAAAAATTTTCTCCACTATTTTATCAGTAGTAATCTGCAAGCTTTTCCAAAAATGCAACCTGCAAGACCAATGTAAAGTCAGTACCAGGTCTATTGTCTATTTTAACGATTCTTCCTTTTGTCTTTTGACATTATTGACAGTCTCTTCCTTTTTTTTTTTTTTTTTTTTTTTTTTTTTTTTTTTTTTTTTTTTTTTTTTTTAATTCTTATTGGCACATGTTTGCTATGAAAAATGTATGTTGAGAGCAGCCTGTGACCCTAATTTCTTCTCTTTTTTTGGGGTAGGGGAGAGGTAGGTAAGAATATAGAAGTAAAAATGACAAATTCTAACATTCACATTCACCATTTATTCAATCCTTGATTTGGAACAAGTGACAGAGAGGTTTGGTTTTGTTTCTGTGGCACCTTTTTAACAGAAATTGCAATAGATCCTGTATTGTAAACAAAACAATCAAAATATAATTGAAAAATGTTTGCTAATTAGTGCAGTGCAATTAACACCCAGGTTTTAAAGAAATATATAAAAAGTAAACTTTTAATACTAAATATAAAAGCTCATGTAAGAAATTTAAATTCAATAAAGTGTTTGTTTTCAAAAAAAAACCATCCAAAGCTAGCCACAGCCAGCTAATTACTGAACATTTGTCCTAAATTCACAAGCTACAATAATTTATTCAAAAGATAGGCATGATATAGGATAATGACTTAACAGAAGATTGCAGAGCTCATGTCAATTCACAGTTATTGGTCACCTAGAATAAAATACTGGTGATACATCTGCTGTTCAACTTTTGCTGCTAATGAAATATACTCTATACTGTAAGTGGGATCAGAGAATGCTGAAAACATCTGCTTCCACAAAATAAATTTTCTTTATCTGTTTGTTAAGCAAGCAGAAGAAATAAGAATAAACCTGAGAAAATAGGGGGGGGGGGGAAGAAAAAGAAAAAAAAAAGGTAAATTGCTCAGTAGATGTAGATATAAAACAATTATATCTAACGGGATAAACTCTTTGTGACTGAGTCCTTTGTGATTTAAAGGATTTGTGATATTTCATTGAAAAATTTCTGATTATGGAAAACTGAGGCCTGAACACATGTGAAGCATTAAGTTTTCAGTGGTACAATAATCCCTTGTTATGTACTTGTATCTTTTCCATTACCATACAATAAATTTGCAAAGAATAGAAATATATGGCATGTGTTGCTTATTTCCCCCACACTGCCAACACTCCTAAATGGGTTTTTCCTGTTTCCAAATATTGACTAAGAACATTAATATTCTAGTTTGATTTCAAATCCTTTCCTGAAACTGTATTTTATTCTTTTGACTTCAGATACAAAGAATTATTCACATAGTTTAGGACTCAAGACTTAAAAGCAAATCAGTAAAAATATGTTTCTAATTTTGTTCTTATTTCCTGTGAAGGCAACAGGAATTAGGCCAATAAAAACATTCTCTGGAGCTGCAAAATGCCAATTTACTTACCTGGACATTTAATGTATTTATTTCAAGTTTAGTTGTATCTCTATATTTCTCTTTTTAGGGTTTTATCTTTGGAATTAATCTTGAATTATTGTACAGCTAATTATCTGGTTTGGCCACAATTCCTGGTACAGATTCTTCTGTTAGACTTCTCTCTCTTGATCCTGGAAAAATCTTCAGATCGCTGGTTCTTGACAGCAAACCACCAGTGTTTTCAGATAGGGGAATGTTCTTTTTGTTCTTGTAATAAGCGATGATAAATATTACTGAATTTTTAACATCTATATATTAACATATTAAGCCATTACAAGATTATAGATTTGAGATTACGTCCATAGAAGAATTCAATATGAATCTGCTTTTGGTATCTATTATTGTTTTGTCTTGTGAAACTAAATTTAATAGCTGGTTTCACAAGACATAAAGAGACACCAGGGCTGAAATTAAAATTGAATTAGACTCTTTGACAGTATTTCACATAACTCATACTAACATCAGTCTTTCTGGTTCTTTTCCTAATGCATAGCAGGGGAAAAACTTGTTTTTCTTTCAGCAGCCCTTATTCTTTAAGAGTTGTACTTCTTTTTAAAAGACCAGCATGTGAGCTATTTTGTATCTTCTTTCTTTTTGCGTAAGAAACCAAACCATTTTATAGAAGCTACACCACTGTGTTGCTCTGAATAAAAGATTTTGGTAGATCAGAAGCTAGGAGAGCATCTCATAATTATTTACCTTGATACTACATTTTGACAGAGCTAAAGCTATGCGCATGGTGAGGTCTTCAAATTTACTGCCCTTTGGCTGGCGTTGTCAATGTTCTTGTTCATCTTTCCTTTTCGAGAACGGTATTTTTGCAGAGAGAGAGAGAGACAGAGAGTGGAGTTGCTGGAGGAGGTTCAAAAGCAAAACTCTTGAGAATTCTCTCTGGTCACAGAATAATTATAGTTTCTTTTACTAGCTTTCAAGTACCAAACCACAAAGTCCAGGCCCCTGTTTTATGTATGCAAGATGTAGTTACAAGCAAAGTTACAAGCAAAAAATATGGCTGCAGTGTATTCATATAGAAGCAATTACAACACTATTTACTGTGGGTTCTGAGCTATAGAAAACATAGTTTCTAGGTCCAGAGTTTATCTAAAATTGTCAGTTTATCCAGACTGAAATTGTCCCCAGTGGATTAAAGGGGTCAGTTTGGGGAAATGGAAGAAGTCTGATGAGTACTTTCTCATGTCACATGCTCCCTGTTCATACCTTTCCTCCATCCCTGCTACCCTTCCAGCTGTGAACACTCCATCCCTTCCTTGCAAAAAGCAACCTGCCTTCAAAAATCCCTTCATCTTTTTCTTGGTAAGGTCATAAGGCTACAAAGTGCTGCCAGTAACCCCATTTCCTCCGCAGCCAGTTTGTCACTGCTGCAGTGACTAGCAAGGGTAATGCTGAGTGGAGAAGGATGAATGGGTGGGTGGCTTGGATGCTGTGTTGATGGGCAGCAGAGAGGTCCTGCAGACCAGGGACAGTGCTGCCAACTGGTCATGATGCTGAAAGACCCCAGCAGGGCTGTGGGAAATGCAACCAGAACATCTAGGAGACACACATATAATGTTCTCTTTGTCTCTATTTTCAAGATGTACAATCAGGATTAACACATGTGCTCAGGAAAAACAAAACAAAACAAAAACCGTGAGAAATCTTCACCCACATTACAAACTACAAATGACAAGTCACTTCTAAAGCCTTCCATGGGCAAATCCATACTTTCTAAGATCTTTTTTGTGAAGTTGCTAATATTTGAGATTACCCTGGAGTTTTAATTAAGGCTGCTATTTAACATTCATACTGCACCTGTGACTAGAAGCCAAGCAAATTGATGCCCCAAAATTCTGGGCACTCTTGTAAATTAATCTCGTTAAACATATGTGCAAAGTGGGCCATTAGTACTTAACTATTTTAGTACATTTCCAGTTTCCTGTTCTCCTGAATCTTGAAGGAGATGGTGTCTCTTCAATTGGCATAGATTATAGTGCAAGCCAGGATATTTCAGTATCTCAGATCTCATCCTCTGCTAATATTATCTACTATTTTATCTTATGCATGAAGAACACAGCAGTAGTTTTATTTACATAGCCTAATTATTGCAGTTGTTCTGTTTAGCAGTTATTAGAGTGTTATTGCTAAATTTATTGATACACCTGTGACTGGCTTGGTTGTTTTGGAGTAGGATTTCTGCTTACACAAACTTAAATATTGTGTATTTGTATTTTATACCACTACTAGTACCTTCACTTCTATGAGCAACTACAAAATAGTTTACAGGCTAACCTGAAAGACTTGTGAAGAAGGAAACAAACAAATCAAAACAAAAATCCCAAACCAACACTTTTTTTGTTTTGTTTTGTTTTCCCAAATCTGTGCCTAAAGTTTATGTATATAGGAATTATGAAAACTTTTATCAAACAAACTTGAAATCTTAATGGCTTCCAGAAAGGCTTTACTTCTTCTTGAGTTTTAATAAAAATAAACCAATGCTACCAATTTAAAATTGATGGGTGTTAAGCACTTTTTATCTTGATGTATGGGTTTAGGAAAGCTGAAAATCACTTCTGAAAATTCTACCTGTCAGACTAAAATTTTCCTGTTAACACAGCATGTAGGCTGTCAAGAGACTTGGCTGTGGTCAAGGTGTGGACATTCAAATAAACAACAGAATGGTCCTAACAGATATCACTCAGGAGTTTCCATGTCTTTTATTAGAAGTAGTTACATATTAAACTTGCGTGATTTTTATTTCTTCCTTTTCTATTGCTTTCTGTTTAATCAAAGAAGGAAAGATATCATGGTCTTGAACAGCTGTTATCCATGTAACTCCTTTGGGATTATATTGGGTCTACTTGCTTCAGTCCTATTACTGCCTTTGAAAATTCCAGAGATGCTACAGTTAGTTAGATCATCTGTAAGGACTAGGCTGTCACAGGAGCTAAGGGTACAAAGAGATAGGTCCAAATCAAAGCACTGCTCCTGCATGGGTTTTCATCAAACCAGCACTGAAACCCGCCAGGCATACATTCACCCATCCACATTCATTCACAGGTTCAAAGAATTGTCCCAACTTTTTTTTTTTTTTTTTAAGTAAAATGTTATTTTTGCAGGAACTATCTTTTTAATAAAAACAAAACTTTTTGTTTCTTTTTCTCACAGCATCTATTTCCAAGGCGTGTCCTTAGTTCAAGTGTTCTGTCACCATTTAGTTTAATACAGATGTTTTATCATGAGATTCTTTTCTTGTATCAACATAAATGTTTCGGTTTTAGATGTTTGTATGCTCTTGGAAGCCACTTCTGTGAAGATTCACATATTTACTCCTTTTTTGTTTTGTTTTTCTCAGGTAATATCAAAATTATCAAACAAGTCTACATTATCTCAGGTATGTTAGTCACATTTTAAATATGCCAAGCTTGACTTTGACACATGCACACAGTTACAGCCAGAGCAAAGCTGGAAAAACCCCAACTGACTTCTGTGGTTTCAGAATGATACTTTAAATAGCATCCTGAAGATGGTTCTGCCACTGTCCATTTTATGAGTATCAGCTTATGGTCTTTTCTTCCAGGTGCTGGATTTGGTTATCCTAATATGGCACCTGCATTTTAAATACATGGCTACCTAAATCAAAGTTTTGAATATGGGTAGTGCTCATTCTCTGTAGAGTATAGGCTGCATCAGTGTCAGGTCCTGTACAATTTAACCATTGTAACAGCCTTCAGATTACTATTATGGTTGACAATAAGGCTGTTATATTTTATATGGACAGGTCTTTTGCCACTGTTTTAAATTATTACCCTTTCATACATCTCAGATGGAAAGGACTTAGTTCACTAAATCTGTCAATGTATAAGAGAAGAGAATTCACTCAATGGAAGTGTGCTGTGGAACACAGCAAAATTAAACCCATGCTGCAAAATGTTTAAACAGATACTAATAGGGGCTGAGAACATTTGGATAAACTCCCCAAATCTGCATTTGCACTCAATCTTACTTGGCCTGAATGTGTGAAATTTGACTATACAAGTTCATCTGGGGGTTTCTATCTAAAGTTAACAGTGCCTTAATCAAGCTTGATTAAGAGAAGTAGCCTGAAAAACTGAATAGCAACCTTTTCTGAAGCCATGAAGTTGCATTTGGCTGTACTCTTCACTGAGATGTGTGGAATTTGCTAATTTGATCTGGAACCTGATTCTGCCTTAGTCCATTCACCTACTTCCAATAAATACAGTAAGTTGTACCATGTCAATAAATGGAAATATTTTTGATTTATGGCCTGATCCTGATGTGAACTCCATGTTGGCATATCTCAGGACTCATGACCGGTGTATTTTGTTACCATAAAAGAGAAACAAACTATATTGTTTTCTTACAACATGCTTTAATGAGTACATAAACTACAGAACCAAGGTCTATGTTGCTTCTAAATTGCCTTAAAAAAAAAAAAAAAAAAACAAAAAAAACCAAACAAACAGATGTAGCTCTACTTCTCAATGCTCAGGTCTGAAGATGACACTGTCACACCACTGGTGCATTAATGGGACTTTTTATAAACTGAAAAATCCACCTACTATCCCAACAGTGGTTTCAATTACAAAAACTAAGAAGGATACAGAGGACATTTGGGCTTGAGTTGAACTGGTGTTAATGCTATTTATAGATTATAAATGATTCTACATGAAAATGTGTAGTTATATGAATTACCAGCCTCAGTTCTTTCCCTTGGTCCACCAGGAGTCTGAGAGCATAACATTCAAAACAAATAATGCCTCAGTAAAGCAAGAGTTGTCTACTCAAGTGTACATCTGGCATATGGCTTGTAAAAACTAGTCATATAATCTCTTTTGGTAACAAAACATATTGGAGTGAGTTCACTGGCTATGTCACTAGTGACCTTAATTTGCTTGTATTTTTCTCACATATGTGCGTATAACCATAGTTGGGGAGGGAAGCTATGGAAAAGTTCCAAAAGAGCTATATCTAATGAGAAATGAAAGCTGTGCTAGATCTGGATTTATTCTACGATGAACAGCAGAAGAAAGTGTGTTTCTGCAACGTCAGGCTCTGAATTTTACACTAGTATGTATTATCTGCTATTTTAGACAGAGCTCAAGGGAAACGGAAATATAAAGAAGAGACTCCCTTCAATTGTAGAAGATGAAGACGAGGATGAGGAGGGAGAAGAAGAGAGTAGCACCCTTTCACCAGTCCATACAAGAAGCACAAATTGTTCTCAGCAGAAGAAGGCTGGAAGCAATAAAAGCCACCTAGGAAGAAACTTGAAGCCGTTGACCTCAAGCACGGTGCCCTTTCATTCACCCATCCATGCTTGCAGTTCAAACCCCTCAAGAACCAAGCATGAAATGGAGCTCCATTACTACTCCAGAAGGAAGGAGAAAAACCTTAAGTTACACCTTTCAGCACTGACCACCAGTGGTCCACCTGACCTGAGTCCAAGGTAATAGTCATAAATTGTTATTTTCTTCTCTATCATGTAAATCCTAATAAAACTATCATGATTATAACAGTATAAAATATTTCTTTTTCTTTAATAGTTGATACTTTTGTTCACCCCACACAGAAGGAAAAGTCCTCTTATTGTAGGAACTATTACACAGTACACAGAATGTTATGACTTTAGGACTTTATTGCAAAATAAAATATTTCTGCCAGTAAAAAGGGAAAGTATTGAGCGATTACAAAAATGAATAGTCTGATTTTATGGTATCATTTTGTCCATCTATAATAATATGCATTGCCACAATAGCACTATGAAACATTCCAAGTCCATCAGAGAGACAGCATTTTAGAAAGAAAGTAGATTATAATACAGCATAGCAGTGCAAATACAAACATTACTGGAGTAGAGGACTATAATAGAAAACTATTGCCTAGCAATGTTAGAAAATATTTAGAGGGTTTTTTTACATTACAGAAAAGAAACAAGATAAAGCAAGTTATGTAGAGAGTAAACATGAAGTTGAGAAAATCTGTTGTGACTTTTAACATAAAGAAGTCATGTAATAGTATTATTACAGTATTATTAGTGTCTAATTTTTAACATTTTGATTTTTTACTTGTATGTTTTAAGATGATTTATGTACCTTATTTCTAAATTGCTGCAATGTAATAATTAATTATTAACCAAGTGTTTGGGGATCAGTTCTTTATAGAAAGCACAATAACTTCTTCACATATGAGGAGCTGCAGCAGTTGACCTTCCACTTCAAGTTTTGGTTTCTATAATTTGAAGTATTTTACATGTTCAAGAACAAGGATACAAACCAATTTTAGTTTTGTCTAGATAATGACAAATCTTTGGGAAGATAATGTGTGGAAAACCAGCTTCTGCACCAGTAAAACTGAAATGCACAGTGGATATTTTCTCATTTCTTTTGTAGATCTCATATGAATTTGGTTCAGGTCAGCGATGAGTAAAGGTCATTTATCATTTCCATAACAAGTGGTAATACTGTGAAAAGCTACCTTTCGTATTTTCTACTGAAACATATTCTTGCTCATTATTATTCTGAACATATGCTGCCAGACATTGGCACCCAGGGCTGCAAAAGTGAATGTGAAACAAGTATTTTTAGATATATTCTTATATCCTATTTCCATTCATAATTTCATAACTGCAGAATAATCCGATTACTAGACTGGAAAATTGGGCCAAGACATATGTGTTTTTAAGACTTTGTTTTCCAGCCAAAACACTTTCCATATTATGTTCCAGAACGAGTTTATATTATTAGAACATTTAAATTGACAATTTAAACCACTTTTAAAAGACCCTTAAATATTTCTTATTAAGTATTAAAGAGAAAATAAGACCTTAATTAAGATCCTTGCTTTTGTTTTGCTGTTGGACAGCAGTGTAAGGGGAAAGCAAGACTCTAGTTGAAATGCCCAGTCAGTACAGTTGTGAGGTGTACAACAACACTTTGTCAGGAGAACATACTTTGCTTAACAAATTTGTTTCACTGTGGATGTTCCCTGGAATAAGCAACCAGAACTCTTCACTGGTGCTTCAGGTTCTTTCCTTGTACACCACAGTTAAGGCAACAGAGCACAGAGACAGGGTGCATTATCTGAATACTTCTTGGTGCAAAGAATTGAAGCCAGCATCATAACTTTTAAGATACAATCACAGTCTCCCCAATCACTTTTGGGTACTACCTATGAAGAAGAGCATCAAAAGGAACAAAGTGTAAGTGATAATAAAGGCAGTCCTAGGAGGAGGCATTTATGCATTTGAATCTCCTCAGACCCACATGGATGAGTGCACTCTAGCCCTGGTGAACTGGATAGAAGAGGTCACATGTTAATCTTTTCTGACATTTTGGCTTCTACAAGTGGAGGCGTCTGTCTTCAGGGGAAAATTCAGGGCTGTACAATAGCTTATTCAGAAAGGGGTGAGACTTACCAATTACTTTTGTCCCCTCATGTTTTCAACTCACTAGATTTCATCACTCCACAGCCAGTTCCTTGTATATGAATAAGTATCTTGCCCATTACATGTTTCCCACATCTGTCTTTCTTTTAGCTGTCCAGAACTAGCTATTTTTGCTACTCTGGTTTCTTCTTAGTCTGAATCTTTAAACACTTTAAATAATACAGCATCTATAAATTCTAAGTCACGTCTGAGTAGGTTTTACTGTGTGCTTTAAAGGCAGTCAAAATGTTAGCATTTTATATAATTAGAAATCTCTACAAAAGGGATATCGGTGTTTAAAATTTACTTTTTGAAGCACTGAGGCCAGATGACATTAAATAGGTTCTATAGCAAATTTCAAACAAAGTAATCATTCAGGTTTTCAGCTGCAGATAACAGTATAGGCCAGAGCAGCTCAAGCACCACATTTGAGTCTTATTTCCTCCCAAAGACTGGATAAGGTTACAGTGAAATCTAGTAACATCCAACCAGCATCATGAACACTCAGGCATGACACAGAGCCCTAAACCCACATGAAGAGCCAAGAAGGACAATATATGGTACATGCACAGAGCGCTAAGTTATGTGGGTCTTTCAAGCCAAATATGTTTCAGATATCTCTGTATTGTCTGGGTTTTGTTTCTCCAAATATTTCCAGTCAAGAGGTTTGCTTGATAATATCCTAATTAGATGGAAAGTTTAATTTCCATCATCAAAAGTTATCACTATTGACTAAGAGGCCAAGAACTGACTTCTTTAGCCCTTCCAGATTAGTGTTTAACTCATCTGCCTACTGTAAGACAAATTCTGAATCTTGTGCCTGGACAAAACAAGAAATTGATGCTCCATGTCTGTCAGTTGGCAATTTTCTGAGTCACTTCCATTGACTTTAAAACTGTTCCCTTTATAGCACAATTTATGATAAATAAGAACAAAAAGTATTCCTAATTATATATTTTTAATAATGTGTATTGATTCCTCCATCCACTACCAGTTTTCTATTCTTAGTATGCAGCACTTATTGTATAAAATGCTTCAGTTTTTTTCCTTTGGATTTCTCAACACTGCAAATTGGAGGTCAACTGCAATGCATGAGTAGAAATAACTGTCAAAAATGCCTTTTCTAGTAGTTAGATCCAGTACCTAATATAACTGGGACATTGCAGGCTCGTCTACACATCCTATACCCAGTTTGCAAACAAGACTTCTCTGCCTGAGCTAGTTAGTTTTAACCGAATTTGGGAATAGCTATTTGCATGGCAACAACACTTTTGACTGTGGTTTACAGAGATGCTTTCATAAATATATTACGTTCAGGCTTGGGCTCTGCGTAAGTAAGCTTAATATAAGAGGTTGATTGTTATGTGCACAGAGGTTTAAACTTCCCAAGAGCATAGTGAAGCATCTTTAGTTTGTGAAAAATAATGGCAACAGATTACTTTAGATATGAAAAGCAAACTGTATTCAATACAGGTTTTGTTAGGACCCAGAATATACTGCAGAAGTCATGAAAATTTTGAAACTTCAATTTAATTCTATTTGGTCTCACATTCCTTCCTCTAACAGTAGGTTTAATCTTTAGTGACTCACAAGAAGGTACATCAGTATAATAGCTTTGCTTTTCTCTAAACTCAATGTTGTGCAAAATTTACCATTGCTTAAAAATGTGCCCTTTAGGAGTAATTTTGACAACATCATTATGAATGTGATGATTATGAAACTGCTCCATCACTCTTATTTTTCTCAACAGAATTGTTGATGGGATTGAAGATGGAAACCATAATGAGGAAAGCCAAAACTTTGACTTCAGCTCTGATCAGCTCAGGCAGGAATCCAGGTTATCTCCTACAGTTGGAGGTAAGTTTTGCCTAGAAAAATCACGCTTTAGAGAAAACAATTTTCCTAATTGCTTTTTGTTCCCCTTTTTTCTTTGATTCTCAGAAATGGCATAAATGTGTTTAACATGTATCCCTACTTTCAGTAACATTTCAATACCACAACTGGTACTGTAGAAAAATACAGCAGGGTCCTGAAGACCATTTCTTGTTTTCCTGCTAAAAGACAGTCATGATAAAACAACTTGCAAAGAGTACTGTATTTTCATGCATTATACTTTATTAGCAGTGTTGTAGGATCAGCCAGGAGCCTCATGCTCCCAAACCTTTGGGCTTGGAAGGTACTAAACACAAAGGGCAAATTTCAACATAAAAACATTCTAATACAAAAAAAAAAAAAAAAAAAAAAAATCATAAAGAACCATATGCAAACTTGGCTCTCAATTTTTGAGAAGTGAAGAAGTATGAAAGTACCTAGATTTTTAGAAGTAAAAGAGTGAAAACCTTGAATAGCAAGAGGTTTTAGGAAGCCTTAAATGACCTACACTCTGAAAAGGTTGATAAAACAGCACCACAGAGGAACAGAGCATGTCAACGTGGAAAGGGAAAAAAAAAAAAAAAAAAGAGGAATAAAGAGACAGAGGGGAGGGACCAGTGGACTGATGCTGAAGTGACACAATTAGTGCAATTCAGACTGTTTCAAACATCCTCTCTTTTACAAGTAAACAGTCTAAGTACATAGTTATGTACCTTTTGCACGGATGCTATTAGGATACATTTTGATCCTCTTAAAGCCCAACAGAAAAAAAAATAATGGAAGTTTAATTATATCTGGGATTTTTAGAAACAGATGACATGTCATATGTTTGGCACCATGGTTGTCATTTTCAGTCCTTTCAGTTCAGACTGAAGAGAGCAGTACAAAATTTATTCATCACAATTTTCTTACACATTATGCACTGAACATTAAACATAATATTTTATTTTCATTCTATCCAAGTGTGAACTCAGTTTAAGTTTAAAGCATTGGAGAAGTGCAAGAATAGCATTGCTGTTTTCAAATTACTTTTGTCATTTATATGCATTTGAATTATTTTCAGAGGCCGAAATTGGTGCTGCTGTGCTTGTTATCAAAGCAGAAGAGACCAAACAGCAGATCAGCAGGCTTAATGATGAGGTAACAAACTTTTGTGGGTGTTGGAGGATATTAACACTGATTCAAGGAATGCTGGAGAAAACTCAGAAAACTTGGGAATATGATAAATATGTGACAAATGAATTTTCAAAACTGGATGGGATTCCTACATTTAGGGCAATTTGAGGCTTATAACTCTTTTCAGATTAATTTTCTACATGAAAGCTATATAAAAGTTTGTGTCATGCTAGAGCTAAAAACAAAGTAAGGTTAGCATAGTTAGTGTATTTGATTTTGGGATTTATCCTCTTCTGTACATTCTGCTATTTCTCTCTTTCCTCTCATTCTTTCCTCAAGCCCTTTCTTTCAATTCTTCTTGGTTTGGTGCATGCTATTCTTTTGGAGAGTTCCCTTGAAATAAATGAAAATCCAGTCATCTTCAAATTCACATCAAACGTTACCTATGCCTATTTAGAATGAAACAGAAGTTCATCCATGCCTGCTCAAGCAGTATGACCTGAGGAATGTAGGGTCATTATTGTTCAGTGGTGCTTCCTATTATTCCCGTCTAATAAATTCAAACCTATAATCGACTACCATTCTGACACTAAAGAGGAAATGTTCTCTGGCTAAAGTGTTGCAGTACTTTGGCTAAAAAGATGAAAGCATCAGATTTAACTTCACAGTTACACTGCAAGAATAAAATCTGTTCCCAGCATAATCTGTCTTTTGTATGAAGAGATTAGAGACAATTGTTCTCTACATGAGGATACATTTAAATAAGTCCAACCACACAGTTTCACATCTTTTTTTCTGAGCTCTTTTGTTACAAGAAATGTCAAGGTTTGAGGTTTTTTTCCTTCTATATTGTGTACTACTTATTCTTTATTTCCATATATGAAGTATTGAGCTTGTAAATCTCTTTCATCCTGGCTCAGGTTAACTTGGTCAGATAATTTAAATGTCCTAAACTAAGACTGAATGCATGGTTAGTTAGTCACTATGAATGTATCACCTCATTTGTATGTCAAACTGACAAAAGTCTCATGCCCCATTGACTATAGTTTCTCATAAGGCTTGGTCAAAGAACTCAAAGATATCTCCAAGATGTTCATTGACAACACTATCATTATCGAAAATTATATTTCCTATGTAATATTTTTGAAACAGACAAGTCATATTGATTCATCCCTTTTAACTTTGAAGAGGACAGGCATTTTTAAAATATAAAGTTGTATTATGTGGTTATCTGCAAGAGGCAATTAGAAAATATATCATGGTGGCAGATGTGTTAAGGCAGACATCTTGTGGATTAACCAAACATTTGAACTGTGGTAGTTCTGGACTTATCATTGCTTCTCTAGTGAAAAACAATAAATAACTCTTGGAGCAGGGCAGTATGTTAAACAAAAGAAGAAAACAAACAAACAAACAAACAAAACCAACACCACAATGAAGGTCATTTCCTTCCATGTACAATCTTCATTTTTCCCTACTAACACTACCTGAACAAAATGTCATGCAACTTGCTTGCTCACACTAACATAAAAAAGGGAATATGACCACATGAAGTAAAGTTTCCACACAGGGAAACAGAATCCAAAATCCAGAGACAAAGTTTTCACTGTTCTGAATATGGCTCACTCTCATTTCAAATTGAGGAGGAGGGATCCATCTATTTTTTCCACATAGTATGCTACCTGTGAGACTTCACTTGAAATAAGAGGTGCTTATCTCCCAAGACTTCTGCAGTCTCTCCTGGGAATGAGCGGTTTTAACCACTTGATTAAACAAGTCAACCATTAGGTTATCAGACAAAAAGAAGTCTCTGTCTGTTGAGTAGATATTAGGAGTCCTGTAAGTAATAGGAAGAGAATCTCTAGAAATTTAGAGTACCGCCAACTTCTGGAGTCTTGGGTGTGTGAAACAGAATTTGTTTTCACGCTGCATAACTGACTGGGGCCTGCACCAACACAGAGTGCTAAGTGCTAAAACTGAAAGCCAAATAAGGTTTTGGTAGGTTCAGTCATCTTTTGGTAACACCTGAATTGACTTACATCTAGCCTGGTTAGTGATAAAATGACATTAATAATAATGCAACCAGAAGATACAATAACGTGATAATGTTGAAGAAAGTCTGAAAATAGTTGTACATATTGTTTAGTCACATCAGAGAAAACTACCTTTCTCTGATTACAGTACCTCATAGAATTTATAGGAGATTACAGAGCTACATGATGCTACACTATAATGACTACAGAAAATCCTACACTCTGGGAAACACATCAGACTTAGTCAAGGAACCTAAAGGAACATTTATATTCAACTTTGAAGTATATCTAAGATTAATTTACTCCATGCTGTATAGAGTACACTACATAGAGTACATCTACGTTAGTGTAGTCATGTTTAAGATGAAGATTGTAGCTGGTGCCTTGCAGTACTTCGAAGTATTCTTCTCTACTTTCCAAGCTCATATTTTGTTTTCTAAATCCCCTAGCAAAGAAAACAATATTCTGCATTCTAACCACACGTTTTAAACATAGAAACATTTTTATATATAAGAATTCTCAACTCAATGCAACAATGCATGGGCACACAATAGTGACAAATATTGGACTGGGACATTAAAAAAAAATAAAAAATCATGAGGAGCAATACTAAACTGGTGTAGATTTAGATTTCATAGTTAACATTCCAGGCTCAAATCCCAGAGACAGATGGGTATCCTCCAAGTCCTCCCATGGATCAAAATTTATGTTGAAAAACTGCACAACTATAGAAGCTTCTTAATTGCATATTCTACATGTATCAAACATGCTCCATCTGGAGTTTCTGAACTGACAGCACCGACTTGGCACTTACCCAAATAAGCCTGTGAGTAACCTTGGTGAAATATAATAGCTGTTCCTTGGGGATTTTGTTGTTACATTAAGTACTGAACAACACTTGTAGACCCCAGTGCTTTCATCATTCCATCATTTGATGATGACCATTAATGGAAGATTATGACTGATGCTGCAGCAGACTTCTAGCAGTAGTTAAAATACCAGCATAATTAGAAATGATCTTCTCTATTAAGACATGCAGCCTCCTCCTGGAAAAGAAAATATGAGAAAACAGGTCATAAGCAGCCAACAGCAGCAAACACTATCATTAATACATTTTCCAGTGGAGATCAGAAGTCAATCAACAAATGCAAAAATAAGTGATTTCATGAAAGGCAATCATGTTACAACGTTTACTAGTTAGTTTAAAAACATTTCAGCTGTTTATTGGAGGAACAAAGACATGCATCTTCCCATTCAAACATTCAATACAGTCTGTTGTTAGCAAAGAAAAGCAAAGCAAAAAAGAGTTTCCCCAGAGATAAAACTACAAAATAAGCTATACCCAGCTTAGATATCCAGTGGAGCTCTTGGCAGTATTTTAGGCATATGACATTTACTACATAATCCAAAGGAAAGTTCATTTCCCTAAGAATGGGATTAACAGAAGACAGAGCCTTGATTACACTTCTCAGTTTGTTACATATTAACTTCAGGAATAATGGATGCACACACTTCTTCTAAGGAGGGTAGGCTCCAAAGTTAGCACTACCAGTTTGTTAGGCAATGCAAGAGAAACTTGAATGCAACCCAAATTCCTATTGTATAGCTCCATGGCTTGGCTGCTCAGTCAGTTACCCAACTTCTTCATTCACTCACCTAACGTCACTTCTCATTTTGAGCCTGAATGAGATGCAAGCTGATAAAAGGGAATTCCTCTTATGTTCAGTATTGCAAGGTGGAGTGGAATAGGACAACTTAATCTCCTACCTATTTGCCCATTGACTTAGTCTAAATAATCACTGAATAATAAAGGCATGACTTTCACTATACTTCAGTATGTGACAGGCAAGAGAGTTAAGGTTCTGGTTCTTGCTCCTGCTAAATGCAATTATTTAAGAAACCGTTTCAAGACTAAGTGACTGAATACCCAACAGCATGACACAGTTTCTGAGCTGGAGGAAGCTTGATTCAAAGACCTGCTCCTAATTAGACAGAGTGAGAATTTAGGAATAGGTCTACAAGCACGCATCCTTCCTTTGCAGAGATCTGTACAACCCAATGCATTTTTCTGCAAAGACTGATCAGGTGAGTGCATCTAAACATTCACCATTTTTTCAGAGGCACCGTTTGTCTGGTGCAATCACATGTAACTACTAAGGAGCCCAGAAGTAAAATAGGAAACCACTAAGCAGACTTTCTGAGATATACAGATGGACATAAGTCTAGATTAAAGCACATGCCTATCACTGTCCCATTGTCTATATCCTACTAGGCTTTTAGCTATCATTTGAATGCAATTGTATGAAAAAAGCATGGAAATACTTCTACTTTGATTCAGCATGCAAACCCCAAATCTGTATTATTTAAAACATAGACCAGTTAAAAATAAGAAAATACCCAAATTTTAGTCGTATTTTTTCTCCCATAATTTGTACATATTCTCCATCCAAATACACAGGTACAGGATTTCATGCTAAAATACACAGGACGTCTCACGCAGTACATGCAGACAAACTCAGATTTCTTTATCAAGTCTCCTGTTTTTCCCATATGTGACACAGCTCCAGTGCGGCCTCCTTCAGCTTCAGAATCTGGTGTCTGATTTCATACTTTATCACATCAGTAGACCCCACTTTTACAGTACTAAACCAGTACAATGAACAGAGTGCTCACATTTCTACCATTCAACTGAAAAACAAACAAACATGAGAAAATATGAATAGGGTCAGGTTTCATACGAGAAAATTGCCTTCTATTTAGCTGCATGTTGGAGCACTTAGTGGAAATTCAGCTATTTTTAATTTTAGGTTTTTTTAGATTCAAGTGCTTAAAATACTCTAAGCATTTGGCATTTATTCAGAACAGAGAAAATGCATTTACAGGGACATTTACCTAACAAAAGGAACTATCCTAAATAAATATGTTTATTTTCCAAATCACCTAAAGAAATTTTATAAATAGATTATTTGAAAACATATTTCACATCCTGCT